TCGGGAGGGGCGGGGGTCCACACCGCAGGCTGGGGCTGGTGTTCCCTGGGTGAAGATGCGCTCACCCACTCCCGCCAGCCGCGTGCGTCCAGTCCAGAACCTGGTGGCGGTAGGCTGTTGAGAGGTTAAGGGGGACACCCCTAAAGACCCCACTTGATCGCAGCCGCGCAGGTCCACTGAGCTTTCCGACCTCTTACAGCTTTCTTTGGGCGAGGGCCAAGTGGGCTTCCACGGCGCTAAGTGCCGTTGGTTTTAAAGGTTTATAAAATAAACACAGAAGCAGCCTTCCGTCTCCGCCCACATTTGGGGAGATTTGGGGGGAAAGGGAAATCGGGCATGTTCCCTGTAGTGCAACAAGGATCTTTACTTGAGGAACAGAGAAGGCACTGCGGGGACACTCTGAACCTCCCTGAGAAAGTTCTATCGCTTTCCTAACTCAGGAGGTGCCCATTTCGCGAAGGAGCAGCACAGGAAAAAAGGCTTGGAGTCGACCTTCCACCTGGAATGCAAAGATAAGGGTATTAAGCTTTAAAAAAATACCCGGCTCGCTCCGGACAAGGATTCCAGGAGTTATTTGCGGGGAGATTCTTCATCCCTTCCTTGAGGGCAGAGGGGGCGGGGCGGCGCCTGACTAAACTGTGCTTTGGTCCAGTAGGCAAGGAAAGGCGCAAGCGCGGGTAGACCACCCCCCTCTTCCCCCGTCCCCCCAAAAAGCCAGGGTGGACAAATATCAGATGGAGGGCGTGGGGCTGATGAGCTTTTAGATTAAAAATCCATTTTTGTTTAATTCTGAGATCAATTTTAACGATAGGATTTATCTGAACCAAATGGCCCATTTGTCCATTTTATCCAGCTTAAAAGAAAGAAATTACTGCCCTGACAAGAGATACTAACCAAAGCAGAAGGGACAGGGACGGGGAGACTGTAAAGAGAACCAGGTTGAGAAAACGGTGGGGGCAGGGCTCACTCATAACGTATAATATTAAAGAATGAAAGTGATGATAACAACCAACTCCCCTTCTCCCCCCCCACACACACTTGAGCAACCTGAATTTAGTGAGAGTTAGTCCCTCCACTGTGGATGAATGGATGCACGTGATGGTACCACAGATGTACAGTGCCATATTTAAATGGAATTCTGTGCATTGTTAATTTAGTTAGCCTGTTTGTGGAATAAATCTGGAATAGCATTAGTAAATCAAGATTTTTCAGGTGAGAGCAGCTTATCAGATGAGTTTCAGATTCACGAAAAGTTGAATTTTACCATAAGAATAATACAGCTTCAAATGCTTCAGGAAAGCATTCCTCACTGGGAGCTTCCAAGGAGGAGGCAGAGGTTGAGATTTTTCTTGTTAGGAAACATTTCCTAGTCTTCTCAAAAAACTTGGTCTCCAGACCTTCATTTTACAGTTAGAACGGTTAACAGAGAAATGGAATTAAAATTACTCAGAGGAATACTTTTAAATGACAAATAAATGACCAGGTTTTTGCAGTATTTTACTATTATTCTATTCACAGGAAACCATGAAAGCAGAAGACCTGTATTTAATACAAAAATAGTCTAAAAAGAATAGTGACTTTCAAAAATGGAAACAGTAGGTTATGTTATTATAGCTGCAGGCACATCATAGAAACATTATGCAAAGATTACAGAGCATAAATGAATGGACTCAAAATCTATAGACAAGTTTATTTCTCTGTTTGAAGACCTGATTTGGGGGATTTTGCACACGTATCAAGGGGAAGGGAGTTGGGAAAGGAATAGGTTCAGTTAGCTTGGAAAAGGGAAAGCTAAGAGTTGATCTTAATAATGGTATAAGGTGTGTGAACTCATTTTGTAGAGGATAACTTTTTATCTTTCTAGCTTCTCTT